AAAAATGCAGCCATTTCAAACTATTTACAGAATAATCCGCTGTTCTGCATCAATTTTGATGCCACACAAATTATTTGTGCCACTCCAAAAAATAATTTCTGTCCACTATGAGATAAAGGAGAACAACAGCCTGATACCTGCAGGCCTGACAACAGGAGATGTATCACTGCTGTAACACCTTAACATTCAGCAGTCACCTCATTGTTCTGAACACACAACAAAACTATTGACTACACTACAGACTAACTACACAAGATTTGCGCTAAACGTCGCAAATCTCTCACATCTCAAAACCGCTGTCACTCCTAAAGGGTGGGGGTGTGTTTTGGTTTCATCTTTGCTCACAGGTGGAGAGTGCTTTCGAGCGTTTTCCTGATAAAATGCTGATTTTATCGTTTCTTCCTGAAGTAAATATAAACAACGATAGTATTCAGCAAGGAAACCAAACATTGCATATATTTTTATCATAACTCTGGATTTACTTGGCCAATCAACACAGTTTAAAAACTGGTATAAAGTCCACACTTTTTCCGTCAATTGTTCCGTCTGTCCTGCTCACATCTCCAATGGTTGTACACGTTGTCATTAACGTGGCTTCACTCCACATCAGCCACGCCGCTTTGTTAGCTAAAACACCGGTGTCGGCACATAAGGACGCTGTCATAGCCTGTCAACGACGCTGATTAGCTGCGTATATACGAATGTGAATCACATCAGCGGCTGGACTATGGGATAAGGTGGCATCGTTCTAATCCCATACGGGAGCAGCCAGTCACTCACTGACTAACACTGCAAAACAGAATTGTTAAAGTATTCATTTTAATTTCAATTCAGGTTAGATTTTTTTTCTGTGCGCAGAGACCGTGCCAGCAGTGCGCAATTGCGCATGTGCGCAGCTTAGAGGGAACATTGGACAGGACTATGATTTAAACAAGTGTGTCATGTCTGACGTCACTTTCTTTTCTTTTAACCAATTTGTGGTTTATCTAACATTCGGTCCTCATTTTTAACCTGCAAAACAGAAAATGTATGTGAACATCTTTACCTGGAGGAAGCAGACTGTAAAGATGGCTGTCCTAATACAGATATTATGGAAAAAAATATCATGTCCACCTGCCCTGCTATCTCTGCAATGAGTAGGCTTTACTGTCAGCCACACAGATATATGACACTGCCTTAAACACTCAGCTCTGGGCCTTAAGCTGTAGTTATCCCATAAGCGAAGGCTCAGAGGCCTAACGTTTCACCAAAGGGATGACTGACATTTTAGAGAGGAGATTGCAGACAGTAGCTAAGGTTTAACACTAACAGGACTATGACTGCACCTTTAACTCACCAGCTGGTAAACAGTGCAAGCAGGGATGAGTCATTTATTAATGGAATGCAGTTAATGATTTGTTCACTGAGGTCAGTGGTTTTAAAAATTGGAAGAATGTTGGACCTGAACATGGAAACTCATCCACCTCCCAGAGAACTGCTTCTCTTCTTTATTGTAACCATGTGCAATTTCAAAACCTTTGGATTTTGTTTTCTATAGCACCAATTTGAAAAATGTTGGGACGCTGTGTAAAAAGTAAACAAGAACAGAATGCTATGATCTGCAAATCTCATAAATCCACATTTTAAGTTGAACACAAAAAACATGTCAAATGTTTAACATGACAACTTGAGTATTTCAAGAAAAACAGAAAAAATGTTTTAAACAAGTTGGAACTGGGTCAACAAAAGTAAGTAGTACTAAAAAGAAACATTCAGAGTAACACATAATTAGGTTAACTGGGGCATTCATTGAGTATGAAATCAGCATCTTTGAAGTAAAGGTTCACCAACCTTGAAAAATCTGCATCTACAAATTGTGGAAAAACTTCATGAAAAAAATCAGAGAAAATGGAGAAATCTCTGTGTGCAAGGGGACAAGGCCCAAAGTCAATATTGGATACTGGTGATCTTCAGGTCCTCGGGCAGCACTTCATTAAAAACAGGCTGGATTCTCTCATAGAAATCACTGCACTGCGTCATCCATAAATGCAGGTTAAAGCACTATCACGCAAAGAAGAAGTCATGCATGGCACGTCCTCCAGACTAACGAGGAGAGGGACCATCCAGCTTGTGATCAGCACTCAGGTCAAAGGCCTGCATTTCTAATGGTATGGGGGTGTGTTAGCGTCTGTGGAAGTGACAGATTGTACATCTACAAAGGCATCATCAATGCTGAAAGGTATATACAGGTATTAGAGCGACATGCTCCCATCCTGACAACGTCTTTTTCAGGGAAGGTCTTGGATATTTCAGGAAGACAATGCTAGAGCGCTTACTGCATCTACTACTCTCTCAAAGGTCCAGCAGCTGGTCTCATCAGTTCCCAGATGTTTACAGACTATTGTTAAAAGAAAAGGCTACACAGTGGTAAACATGACCCCATCCCAACATTTCTCAGATATACTGTTGCCATCAAGACCTTATTTTATCAGTTTAAACATTTGATTTGATTTCTATGTTCTACTGTAAATAACATATAGACTTTAATTTATTTATCCCGTCTAAATGTAGTACTTAGACATGAACATTTCCAAAAGAAGAGCACAGTGAGAAATTAAATGAAAGTTCCTAATTTGTGTGCAGACACAAGTAATAGGACAGCCGTGCCCACTGACTTTTGTTAATGAACTCCTCTTATGACGAATGCCACTCAGTTGCCATATTTGTCACCCTTTGTTTGTTCTGGTAATTATGTTTTCATTTCTTGTCCCTCCTGCCACATTCGTGCACCCACTCAACCTCCTCCACAGTCTGTCTCTTTTCGTCTCTCCCTCCCCAACCTTTTTTAATCATATTAGTTATCAATAATTAATCTGCAGCAGCTTGCCCACCCGGCTTGTTTAGCAACGTCTGTCATCCTGTTAAGTTAATGCAGGACTGAATTAGAGTAGCAAGATAGGGTTGGGGGATCCTCCATGTATTACAGCATCTGGACCACGCAAGTGAGTTGTCAGGAACTATAATGACCAACACCACATTATCCTTTCCCTCAACCCCTCCTCAGAGTCCAGGCAGGCAGCACCGAGGCTTAGCCATCTTTATTTCTTATCAGCTGGGCAAAGCAACAAAGGAACAGAGACAAATATCTCATTATGTGGATGAGGGTAACTCAGTAGAAAATTAATCACCAGCCGTAATGTTAATATGTGCATAGTAAGCTGAAAAATGTATAGGAACATGCTGCTGCGAGGGAAAGAAACAAATTCAGAATGATTGGTCTTTTATACGTTTGCTACTCCTGTAAACGGATAACAAATGTATAAAAATGATTCTGTTCTCATTTTATTTAATGGGACTGTGTCTTTGAGGGCGTAAGCTTGAGAACAAGCCCCATACAGAGTGCAATATCCTGTACTGTATATGCATGCTGTTCATACGAGCTTTTATCTAGCTTTTGAAGTTCAAACTATATGCAACACATGCATCACCTTTGTATTTCAGAATGCATTTTCAACAACACCTCGTCATTGCCAAAATCACGCGTTCGGCATCTACCTGTTAAACCCTGGGATAAATGAGAAGCAGACTAATTACTTCCCGTCTTCGCGTTAGACCTAACTGCATGGATAAATTTTATTATGTAAAACATTTGCAGAAAAGATTGCACGCCAAGTAACTGCATACTAAATGGAAGGTTGGATATTTATAAATGAGATGTGAGACTCACGCTTTTGTTTGCTCCTGGCACAGGGCTGTATCAGTTTTGATGCGTTTATGTGCAACAAACACAGACGAGCACATGGCCATGTACATATTTTATTTGCCCCTGATGAAACCTGCGTTGCTATGGAAACTCTTTTAACAGGAACTTCTCCTTATGCTTTCACCCCAAAATCGATCCTTGAGTTCAAAGTTTTCCTTTATGTGTGCACTTAACCCATCGGGTCCGAGGATACTTCAGGATTTTGATCCAAGACTGGGCTAAATCAGACACCTGTACCTATCCTCTTTACAGTGTTTCTTAAGGACCCTCGACTATGTGAGCAGATGATTTTCACCATGACGGGACAACATCGTCAAGGTGAAAGGAACGCTTTCACAGATCTCCACACAGCCCCATGAAAAGCTAAATACATCCTTACTGCTTACATAGAAATTAAGAGGGTAAGTAGCAGTGCTGCTAATCAGATTCAGCTGATTAAATGGTCATTAGCAAGTATGGACACCTTTGTTAAAGCAGAAGTTTTGCTCTGGTCTGAACTAGTTCAGACTCTGAAATGCTCAAAGAAACTGCAAAAATAAGAACTGCAAAAAAACCAAAGAAAACCCCCCAAAAAACAAGACCTACATTTCTTGAAAGGGTTGCCCGGAGACAGTCTATCCTTTTTAAAATAAAGTATTGATAATTCATCAAACACAGCATATCAGCGCAAACACCTCAAACCTACTGTGAAGCATGGTGGAGGACGGGTATTGATTTGGGCTTGTTTTGTAGCCACAAGACCCGGGCCCCATGCGGGCATTTCAGTGCCATGAACTCCTCTTTATACCAAAGTATGCTAGAGTCAAATGTTAGGCCATCTGTCTGACAGCTGAAGCTTAGCCAAAACTATTTCATGCAAAAACACAATGACCCCAACTATAGCAGCAAAAATACAGATACCGTGTTTTAGCCAGCCTCAACCTGACTGAAACACTGTGGCATAATATTGCAATGTTTGCAAACCTCAGTGAAGAAGAGTGGGTAAAAATGTATTCACAACCATGTAAGAAACTGAGAAAGTCTTGCAAAGTTATTGGTGCTAAAGGTGGTTCTACAAGCTTATGATCGAGATGTACTTAGTGTTTTACAGGACTGCATAAAAGCCATCTTTTTCAAATGTCTGTGTGTGATGTGTATGTATGTATGAGCAATTTAGAAGCCAGTTTGTGTATTTGTCTGACTTCGCATTTGTGTGCATGACTACATGTGTTGACACAGACGGGAATATCAAATTCAGAGATAGGTGCAGTTATCATACCGTTAATCTTGTCCATTTCAGCCAAGGTCTCTTGGTAGGAGCTGATTATTCCTGCATATCGTGTCATCACCTCCTTCCGTAAGTTGTCCCAGTGAGGGGAAAGATCTCCCAGCTCCTTTAGATCCTGTACCCTACAAATAAACACAGATCTGTGAGGACCATTGAGGTATTATTGTAGTGCTTTAGCTAGTGTTGTGCCACTTTCATAGTTTTTATACTTCTTTCAAAGGAACTTAATCTTTTAGTTCAGGTTCAAAAAACTATTAGCAAACCTCTTAAAACACAGACAGAAGTTAAAACATACTGAAACATCCTGAGCCAGATAAACACAACTTTAAACCCCAGGCTAAAATATCTGGTGTCCGCTGATCCACTTTGGCCTTTCAAATTCTCCCCTCACTACTCTTTCTTCTGTGATTACTAACTCTTCTGCTGTCTGTGTATACTGAAACAAGCAGGTGTCTTTCAGTTAGTTGCGCCTGCAGCTTTATGCCATAATAATTTGTGGTCTTTCTTTTGGAAATAATTGCCAATATGCATCATCAGACATGATAATGTGCACAGACATCATCATGTCTGTGCACATTTGTGTCTTGTTTGTGTGTGGAGCAGCTGATTTCCAGCTAGGATGCATAATCTCTTTCTTTGGCAAATAATTTGAATATGAAAGGGAATATCAGATAGACACAGATAATCTACACACTGTCCCTGTGGCAGCCAACCAAGTAAATGCCAGAGATATTATAGAAATTAGAGGTTAAAGGAGCCTTTATACGCTCCTCTGATCACATATTACAAATGTAAATCAGCTATTTTTAGATACCAGAATTAGAATTTAGGATTTTACACAGCAAATGATTGGACCAAACCAACAAGACAAGGAACTGATTCCCCTCAAAACAGAAAAAAAACAACCATGCTTTCATCCATCAGTTAGTTTTATCTTCTTATCTTTGAAGGCGCTGCAGGAAACCTGGAGCCTATGTTAGGTGACATTCGGAGAGAGGTAGGGTACATCCTGAACAGGTTGGCAGTCAAACAGTGCACCGCATTGTTTATCAGCTGATTAGAAATAAGAAACAGTTTCTTCTGAAATGCCACAGCAACTGTGAGGTCATTCAGTAACCGTGTCAAAAACAAGAAATTAAATCACAATTATCTGCGTGGGCTTATGCTTATGAAGGTGAGGAAAGAATATAATTCAATAGGTTTAAGCATTCATCTCAATTTATATCCACATACATGTAGGCTGTGGTCACATATCAAAGATTTTCTTGATCCTTTTCATAATTAATCAAGTTTTAATCAAACTTGGACCTTGAAACCAACTGGAAGCCACAATATGGGCAATTCTGTAAACACACTGTGTATGTGGTTAAATTAAAGTTCTGCTTATGATGTATAAAGATAGACTTGATGGAAGTAAGCATATTTCAGTAGAATGCAAGAGTACCACTTGTTTGTCAGACCGAATAAAAGTAATTACATCTAAGTCTTTGCCAGAATAGACACTGAGATAAGTAACTAATGGATCACTCCATACTAAATCAGTCAACTCTGAGTAAAATTCTCACCTGACAAGATACCCTACATTAAACATTATCCCCAACTATCTCAGGGCCACAAGTGTTTCACCCCTTATACCTGTACACTGTGCTCCAGTAGGGCAGTGCTACTGCAAAGACTAAATTAGTCTTCACCTGCTCTTGTCAACCACAGCTATTTTCAGCTGCCCTGGCCATCTTCCCAGTGGCTTTCTCCGTCTGTTTGGGTTACATCCTCATCCTCATGGGAAATTGTGGAAAGCCACCTAAATAGGGAATAAGGCTACTTGTCATTCTTTGACAAGAGCCTCATCGATCAAATGCTGGTATTCTTGTGTTGGTGAGAGACTGCTGACCTCTTTGTCCAAAAGGATGATAGTGGGCAATCTTAACTACTCCTGATGGTACTTGGCGGCCTGTTGGATCAGCTGGTCAGTGTTATTTGGTTAGATAAAAAATAGGTGTGAACCTGATAGTTAAAGCTATAAAACTGGATGAGTCCTCCAAACATCCTGGGACACTTTCTGTTTGGATACAACATACACATTGGTGAGTAGATTATATGTTAATCTGTGAATAATAATAGACCATAACATATTTAAACTTCTAACAGGAGCATCTCTCAAAACTCTTCAGTGCCACTGGGCAGTATTTATAGATCTTGAAGGTAGGGTCTCATGGTCTTGAAGTGGATCCTTCTTGAGATTTTCCAACTATTTCTGTTACTTTAGTTGATGGCAAAGTCTGTCATGTTAAAAGGGATGTGCATCTTAAGTGTTGGCAGCAGGAAAAAACTGTTTCCTACTCAAACATCTCTGGTGGGGTCATCGTGTCCCACTTCCACACTGTCCTTAACTTCTACCCAAGAACATATCAGGTTCCTGCTCTTGGGCTTTCCAATAGGAGTGATTTGTAAAGTGGTTAGGGTTAAAAAAATGTTTTCTCTCTTGACATTTCTCTCTTTCTGGTTTTTACAGTTTATCTCCTTCCTGCAAATTTTTTTTCTATCTTTCAGCACCTTTTCTTGAGCAATGCCGGGTTTTTTTTATGTGATCTGTCAAAGCCACCTCTTGGGATCTGCTGATGGCTTGCTGGTGTCTGCCTTCCTTCATGGCATCTTGGCGTACCTGTTGCACAGCTTGCACCATGGTCTTTATCTTCTTGGTTACATCTCCTTTCAGGATGCTGTCCAACATATCACTCAGATCTGTATCCAGCTGTGCCCATCTGCTATCTTCTGCCAGTGGAAAATCCAGCTCTGGTTTCCTCTCAGAGTCCTCTAGCTTTTTGATTTCACCCACTTCTTATGCTTGAGCAGGTCCAGTGACCTGTGGTTTTCCTTCTGGCCCAATTTCTCTGCCTGGCAAGCAATAAATTCACAGATAGCCCTCAGCCCCTTAAAACAGCATAAAATGTTTTTTTTATGTTTCTGTAGTCACTCTTTGCACTTTGCCTTTGGTGAATTTTCACACTATGTTTGTTCTTAAATATTCCATCAGACATTATTTCTACACTGCCTACCTGCTCAACAAAACAGAAACTAGCATAGCCACCGGTTATATCAGAGTAGTTTTACAAATAAGAGTACATATATCGGAGGACAGCAGTGGACTGTTAACTGGCAGTGATATTCAAGTTTCCTAATATTCCAGATTTTCAGAGTAAAGGTCGCTTATATTCCTACTGACAGCAGAACATTCATGTGATTTGAAAATGAGAATCATTGATACTTTTGTGATGTAATTATCTTCAATGAAAAAGACACTTGAACCAAGATCGGTGTAGTTGTAATGCAAAATGTTTGCAAAATGGCTTGAAACTCCTGTTGTTTTATAAGAAAACAAAATAAAAAATATTTGGCATCAATCAGGAAAAGGAACAACCCTGCTAATAAGTGTCTTTAAATGTTGTGCTGTTTAGATAATCTTATAGAAGATTTTCTAGCTAGTGGGTACTAAACAGACCCATGTTTCCACTGGTTTCACTGAAATATACATTGTTCTTAATGAATCCACTTGACCAATTGACCACTTTAATGATCAAGGAGACAGTGGTTTCAAGTTTTCTGATTTAAGTGTTAAAATAGTAAATATATAGCCACAATGGTCTCCACTAAATATCCTTAAGACACTGCATCACAGGCTCAAACCACACTATCGTTCTGTTACTTTGTGTCTCAGGTCAAGGTGGATGTAAATAATGGTTAAAACAACAGATACGCATATCTGCTTGCTAAATGAGGGTTCCGAGGCACAGAGATGGTGAACAGAGATATACGATAGACTCACCCCCTTTAATCACTGCGCTATTGTCTGGAAAGGGTAAAGGTGTGATAAGAGTAGGTATGAGCTGATTAAATATGCATGCAAAAATAAGGTCACAGATCCTAGTATAACATTTAACAGACAGCAGATGTTAGGGAAAATGCATTTTCAATGTCACATTTAATATTATAGAGTAAGATGATGACTTTATTGCATCTTTGAAATGATCTAGCCTGTAGTGAGAACAAACAACAATCATCCACTTTTCCTGTCCTTTTTGTCCTATTGTGTATGTTGTTTTGCCTTCTCGATTATCAACTGCTTGGATATTCGTTCTTTTTGCAGGTATTAGGTGTTCAACATCAGGATTTAGATATTTGTTAATATTCATTGCTGATTAACACTAAAACTCTAAAGCCCAAAAATAACATTCAGGGAGACTCTGCTACATTCTAATTCATTACTCATGCTAAAATAACTTTCTTTGGAATAACACAGTATATTATACAGTTGTTTTTTTTACACTTTACACACGCCATGGAGTGCAAGTCAGCAGCAATACTCTTCTACACATCCAATCGGTAAGCCGGTTTAAGCTGCTCACAGTTGCTGCTACCTCTGCAAGCCGCTTTGTCACCCACCTCCAATTCAACGCCTCCTTTTCATCCTACATCTAACAGGGTCGCCACGATACTAGAGTTTCAAACTTGACAATTTTGTATAACACGGGGGGAAATTGACAAGCTTATTTTTTTAAATATATTAGAACAATACAAGGAATAACCGTCATTTTTGAGTTATCTGACAATGCAAACACTATGTTACTGTATTTGAAGATGAATTTTAAGAGTCTTTTATGTAGTGCATTAAAAAAAAAAAACAAGTCACATTTTTCCTATCAAATTGTGTTATCCTGTTAAATTAACGCTGTATTAGTGTTACAGGTAGGCAGGCAGGAAGCTACCTAGCTCCCATATTAGTGTTATCCTTTTATTATTAGCCGCTAGTCTAATAATAACTCTTCTATCTTTTAATGTATCGTTTTAAAAACTTGGAACTGCAGTGAACTGTGTTCGATCATCTTGAAATATTGCTTTGAATTGTTTCAAAGCAATATTTGAAACAATTCATGGCTAAATCATAATGTGGCTGTCAGGTAATTGCTGACCTAATGTTAACATGTGTGCCTGCCTGGTTAACATTTGTGATAAGTGTTTATTAGTTCAGTGTTGGAGCTTTACTGACCTCTTGAAATTCCTCCTAAAGTGTTGCTTATTGTTGAGGCCTTTAGGTATTTCAGCTGTAACTGAGAGGAGGGGCTGTGTGCAGCAGTGTTGTGAAACTGTGCCTTAACTGGAAGAGTGAAGACGGGACTGTTGGCATTAATACTGTTGCAAATGATTATCTAATTCAATATTTTATTTTTGGCTAGTGGATAGTACTTTTTAATTTCACGTTAAGTTATTATCTAACTTAACGTGATATTTATCGGGGTTTTTTGCCTGCTCCGTTTTGTGGTGGGGTTTTACTGCGGCTCTCACCACACCAGCCCTTACAAGGTAAGCTCCATCCACCCCACCACTAAATATAAATTACTGCAGTCAGAGAATAAAAATAATATTTTTAGTATTGTGGCCCTGACTGAAGCAGCATCTCTTTCAGTTATAATAAAATAAAAAAAACAAAAAACAATGTCCTACAGCATAAGAAAGCAAAAAAGGTAAGAAAAAGGAAAATAAGAGGATTAACTGGATAAAATTCATGAAATATATTTGTAGTTATTATAAACAATGACTTTTTTAAACTGACATGTGATGCAGATTAAAAACAAACAATAGATCGATACAGATAAAGAGGAAAATGTGTTAAAATTGAGTCAGCCAGATGATTCGGATAACAAAATACATTTCCAAAATAGAAAAGACCTGTCATGTGGCTGCCTTTATTTCATGGTGCATTATAGTGACTGTTCAGTTTAATAACTAAAGGCCTTTTGTGTGGGGGTCAATAAAACCTCTGTGGCTGCGCTGAAAAGCAAGCATTTTTCACCCCAAATACCTTCAGTTTATTGTGAAAAAACGGCTCCATCAAGACAACAAGCACAGCCATTACTCCAGATCTTAGATATAAAGAGCAAGTGCAAACAAAGATGGTGGATGCCAAAATGTCACCTACATGATCTTGACACGCAAACACAGTACTTGTTAATTAACACCAAAAGCAAGGGCACTTTTTCTTTTTTCATTAATGAGAAACCAGACAGCTCTTAATGAGGGAGGTTTTATCGATACCCGCACACTTTGCTGCACATGCGTTTATCTTCTTTGCACACATACACACGGCGACGCGCACAAGGAGCCACAGCGGAAACTCTACTGCCTCTGTGTTCACGGTCTTCGATTAGAACATGAGTGGAGACATTAAAGCTAACAAATAGACGGAAGAAATATCCAAGATTATCACAGAGTGCTAAAGCAAACTAAGCCACCCACCATCCGCTGCTGCACTCACAACTTTACAGCAGTAACTGAATCATTAAAAACCCTGAGCTAACACCGCTGTGAGCTTGGCTGACGGAATCGCCAAAATGGAGAGGCACCGTGGAGAAAGACAACATTTAAAGAGGATTATAGAAGAGGTGCTCGAGCGACCAAGCTGGAGATATGGTGCACATGGGTGTTAATAAACGAACACTGTATACGGTAGTCATGGTTTGGAGCCTGCTGAGTGCTCATGAGCTGTATTATACAGATAACGCATTTCATAAATATTCTATAATTGTCTTCTAAATTTAGCTAAGATTTGAATTATCAGGAAGTAAGGTTAAAAAGGCAGCAGAACAGCACCGATGCTCTAGGAACATGTTACTGGAAGGTGAATGGGATCCAGTGCATATGCTTAAGGAAGGGGTGTGACGGACACGTGTCCTTGATGTTGTGTGGCTGTGTGAGGCTTTTGTTACATGCTGTGATTACAAATGGAAAAACATCCTCCTACTAACGCACTCATCCAGATCTCTGATTGGATCTTTGTGTGCCTTGGATTGAAGTCAGCGTAAATAATTCATATGTGAGCGTGTCTATGTATGGACTGTTTATGTGTTATGTATGAGAAAGGGCTGCCAGAGACAACAGGCCAGTTAAGGAATGATCTGCCTTGACAATCAACGGTCGAGCCCGAGGGGATGGTCTAATTTTTCCTTTTTCTCACACAGTATCAACTAGACTCTGTTTTGATTCCAAGTAAAGTCTTTAAACATACAAATAGAGCTGAGGTTGTAAAGGGGTTAGTTTTAAATATGGGAGGAGGCTGTTGCGGTCTTTAGGTTGTTTGTGGGTTGTGTATTGTGTATTTCAGTTTTCTAGTTAATCTCGGAGTTTGGGTTATTGACTTGGTTTCCTTATAGACTGAAAAATGGTAAATGAACTGGTTCTGATATAGCACTTTTCTGCTCTATCCGAGTGCTCATTCACACATGGACTTTCTTTTATGCTTTTTGCATGGAAGTCCTTTATATCCAACACATCATCAAAGAGCAACTTGGTGTTAGCATCTTGCTAAGGATATTTAGTATGCAGACTGGAGCAGACAGGGATGGAACCACCAACTTTCCAATTACTAGGTGACCTGGTCTATCTCCTGACCACGTTGGGTCCTGATTCCTATATTCTGAGGCTTTTATTACTGCCGTCCTTTGTGAGTTAGTTACAGTGTTTAATATTTAGTTGTTTGCATTCTGTGTTTTTTAGCCTCCCCTGTGTACTTGTGTCCAGCTGTAGCCCCAACTGGTTGCAACAGATGGCTCCACCTCCTTGATCCTGGTTCTGTTGGAGGGTTTCTTCCCATAAGAGGGGAGTTTTTTTTTAATCTCACTGATGGATTTTCTCTCCACTATTGTAAGGTCTAGACTGAAGACCTTCCAATATAAAGAGTCTCGAGGTGGCTGTTGTTGTGTTGAACTAAACCGTGCCATGTTTGAGTTATTTGTCTTTTTCAGATGCTTTCTGTTTGGCTTTTCTGTTAGGTTTCATTGTGAGTTATGCTTTAGTCTGTTTTTGAGGTTTTTTGAACTTTTTATATTTGAGTTCTATTACTTTTTAAAGATTGTGTTATTTATGCTTAGTTTCCTTCTTTATTAAAGGTTTCTTCTGTGTTTAGTGAGTCTTAAGTTAGTTCTTGTTTTGCTGTGGTAGTCAGCTGCACTTAGTTTTACTCTCAACCCTGCCTCGGTTGAGCAGTGTCAAACATAAGGCACGGGGGTGCCGGGATCTGCCCAGAAGACTAGCCTACAAATCCCAGATCAATCTACAGCAGGCGGTGCTGGACCAAGGCCAGGAAGATCGTGAAGGACCTCAGCCATCCCAACAACAGACTGTTCTCTGTGTTGGTCTTCAGGGACCGGAATCGCTTTCCTGACCTCAACAGAGAGAACGGTCTGTTGTTGAGACTGAGGAGGAGCATCTTCCCGCAGGCGATACGGTCTCAATCACACCACCACACAGTACTGACCCACACATATAGTTCTTACACACACACTGGACATTGTTTTCACTTCATCACTTAAATCACTTTAAGCATATTTGCACTGCACAAGACAAATGTGGATTGCACAACACTGGTCACTACATTCTTCACTTCCAGTTAATACTTGTACAGCTGCTGTTATTGTGTGTGTATATATATATTTATTTATTTATTTATATTTCTTCATACATTCTTATATAGTTCTATACTGCGTATTGTGTATTTTGTTGTACAGTTATTTTATTTTCAACTTTAATTTATATATTTTATCTTATTCTTTCCCAGTTAAATTTACCCTTCATTCTAATTTGTGTTGTACAGTTATTTCATTTTTTATATTTTATATTCTTAAATTTTATTCCTGCCTAGTTAAATTTACACTTTTTAATTTTTCATATTTATTTCCTATCTTATTCATAGCCCTTTCCTTTTTTTTCCTTTAGTTGTCTAAGCATTTCACTGCATATCGTACTGTGTATGACTGTGTACGTGACAAATAAAAATTTGAATTTGAATTTGAATTTGAATCCCTGTAAAAATAGTTGTGTCTTCCCCTCAGTCTTTCTTGCAGTGTCTGCTAAGCTCCCCTCATGTGTTAACCCCCGTGATTTCCTGGGCTAATTTTGAATCTCAGCTTCTTGTTTTTGGATTTACTTTGGGCTTTGTTTCTGAGAACTGCGAGTCAGCCAAAATAAAAGACCTGCCTTCTGTTTAATCAGTATGGCTCCACAGCCTGGGTCCTTAATCTCCATGACAAGAAGAAGAAATTAAGGTCCACACAACGAATATGTCTGATTTTTCAGATGCGCTTACCTACTCATGTCCTCCTGAATGTACAGCGCGAGCAGCTGTTTGGGGATACTGAACGACAGAGTGCACTCCTCCATTTGTTCCCGCACAAGCATCCACTTGCTGTCCACTGTTTGAAATCTGTACACTTTGCATACTGGGTTCTTGAACACTGCCAGAGAAAGACAAAGGGATGGTGAGAACAAAGTAAAAAAAAAAAAGAAGTTGTTCACTGAACCATCTGACACGGCAGAAAATACATCACATCCCCGTTATATAAATTTTAAAGAGTTTCTCTTTAATTTTGCAAAAGGTAAACAGACTTTTACATCAGCTCTGACAGCTGCTGGCCTCAAGGACGTGACAGAACAGATAGACTTCAAAAGTCTTGAAAAGTCTTGTGAGGTATGAAGCACAAATTAAATTCTATAATCAATAATGGTGTCTGCCGTAGATAAGAAGTTTCTCATTTTTCAAGGCCTTCCTTCCCTCTCTCTTACTCTCTCTATACTTCAGTTGACAGCACAGCAGAGCAAAACACGTAACCTTGTCCTACTAATCTTTGCCTTATTATTTCCTCCATTTCCATATTAATTGCTTATTTATTGTGCAACGCTGAGGAACGGTCCATTGAATCATTTTGAAAGTTTCCTTACGAACCCCAGTGCCCAGCTCTTCCATTAAAACTGATTCACGTTGAGTCCCATCTTTATTTTTTTTCTTGCAGAGAGTGGCTAATAGCAGCAATTGAAGGCTGGAAACGAAAAACAGCTCTAATGCTCTTATCTGCATGCTAGCAGCAGAGGGCAAGAAAGCTGTGAGCCTTAAACTGTGTGTAGTACTCCTTTCTGTTTGCAGAGCTGAAGCACTCAGAGTGAAACCTTGAAAATCTTGCAATGGGTAGTCAAACATGCGTAGCAGGAAAAAAAAAAAATCAAAATTTTTTTTTGCCTTGATTCATAAATGGAAGCCATACTCATGTTCCTACTGGCAGTGCAGAAAACAGTCCCCATAAGAAGCCCATATACAGCACTATAACACTGATGGAAGTAAACTGTTGTTTTTTTGTTTTTTTCAAGGTCGTCTGTCTGAGTCCTCGTTTTGAAACCTAGTGTCTGAGCCATTAATCCTCACACTGCTACGTCATTTGTCCTCGAGTGTTAAAGTTCAGCGATGCCCTTCAGATGGGTTCCAGAAGGCACACGACAGTGGGAGTCCTTATGTGGTAAGAGTTTTAATTTAGGATGCAATGTGATGCAATGTGCTACTTGACTGACTTAAGCAGCAGCTTTATATGTGGTTTAATAAAAGATAGTTTCTTAGTAAAAACTGGGTAACCTTTACAAATCAAAACAAAACAACTGTAATAAAAAAATGTTAAAAACTATTCCAACAATTCCCATCTTCGCCACCAGCCAACAGTATTTCATGCTAGTCTGACTGGATTTGATTGTTTGGTTAACGTCATCATTTCGGGACCAAATCCAACAATAACTGAGTTTAGATAATCGGTTTGTGTTGTAGACTTCCTTTGGTGTTATAAAACCATGAACAAACATTCTTCCTTACCATCTGATACCACCCCCCCACACTGTTTTGGTACTTTATATAGATATTACAAATGCATATACAACTCCATAGCTTTTAATTATTCTTAACAAATCCATGGTTGACATCCACTCTCCAACAAAGTGTACTACCACTCAGGAATTTAAACATGATAATAAAGAGGAACAAATGATCAGGGTACAGAACAGAAGTTCCATCCTTGTTGGGGGTTGCCTTTGTGGGGTTTACATATGGTCCATGTGCTGGATGCTTTTTATGTGATATCTAAATGATGAGAATAGCAAAGAATATTATTAGTTTCAGATGTAGCCATTCTTGTATTTTGCTTGTTTACATTATTGTATTTTGCACAACTCTGTTGCTTGTGAAGCTCGCACACAAGAATTTCACTCACATGTGCTGTACCAATGTACCTGCACATGTGATGTGACAATAAAAGTTATTTGATTTGATTTGAATATACTGAAATCAAATAGAGAAAACTACCATACAGTAACCACAGCAAGCACAGCAAGAAATGCAGCAAAAGATTTTCCAAAGCTCTGCACAAAAGACATTTCTATTAGTGTTAATCTTGTGACTTTTTACTGACTGAACTGCATAGCAGTAGACAGGCGACTACACTATAAAAACTCCACACAGACAGCAAGAGATTCTCTTAAGGACAATAACGATAAGTCAGACAGACTGCAGACGGGCTTAATATTATTTTTCTACGGCGCTTAAGATGTTGAAATTAATGACAATTTAATTATGACTAGCCTGAACAACTCTTGAGAGGGTTCATAATTGCATCTAAATGAAATGTGAAAATCAAAAATCGTTGGCACGGGGATTCGAAAAACTTTAATGGGTTGACAAAAATAAATGAGGAGATACATGGAGAGAAAGGGGTGAGGGCACAGCCTTAATCGGAGGAGCAACAGTTTGCTGACTTCCACCCCCATCAGCGAAGCGGATTAACCCCCGGACTCCCCCCTGCCGCCACACTAATCTGTCCACCAATCAGACGCCTCCGTTTCCCTTCCTGACACCTCTTAAGAAAATGACTTGCCGAGAATTGCTGCGCGTGGGCTCTGCTATCTCCCTGTTCTCTGCATGCTCATTTTGAAAGGTAATAAAAGTGGAAGACTAAATTGCGTTACTCAATCTGGCTGTATCTGTGGGGAGGGTATTGTTTTGACAGGCTGCAGATGTGCACCTGCAAACATGGCTGCAGTTCACTAGTTAATCACAGTAGAAACAGTAAGCAGCAATGACACCATGACAACAGGCGTGCGGCTGCTGGGGAGCTCGGGGAGGCTAAGGGGATCCAGGTACAGGAGAAAATGGATGTGTGGAACAAATGGATGTGTGTCTCCCAAGTTTCCTTTGAAAAAGGGGCTGTGAAGTTTTAACACAGCAGGAGTTGTGACCTTTTCAAGTCACACGCTTTTCCGTCTACATGTCTTTCATTTTCTCTCTGCAATGCTCTCTTTTCTAACCAGTGAGTGAGCTGACTTTCTGTGTTACCACTAAATTAGTCTCACGCAGCTCATATGACATCTTCTGATCATCTTTAGTTAGTCTACAAAGAACTGAGCAGGCTAACATTGTCAGACACCTCTCACTAGTCTCTGTCTGTCTAAAAACACTTTGGTGCCTAGTAAATGTAAGCAGGGAAGATAAAATTCTTTAATCAAGAAAAAGGACACAGCATAGACTTTAAATGTTATTCATAGAGAAGTTACTCAAGGTTAAACAGATGCAGAGCATTAACAGACTTTTAGATGAAGACGTTACATGATGTTAATGTATTAAATGCATTATAATAGAGTCTTTCAGCCTTTCCTTCAAGGCCATTATAGAGTTCTTTCAAGAAGGGGAAATTAGAGGCATTTTTATTGCAACATTATCCAGCAATAAGTGGTGAAATTACAGGTGCTCAGGGTGTGACTCATACCTGGCCCGGTCAATGGGTTATTTTCTCTGTCGGTGCAAGAATGGTGCGCAGACTCACATACCAGTGGACACTGGAAAGAACAGAAGAAAAGACAAGATGAAAACTGGCAAACATGAGCATGAACAGTAAAGCATTTCTCTGATGTACTTTCAGGCTTTGATCACAAACTGTCGCCTGTGACGGCAACCACATTTAAGTGCAGCCTGACACTGAGACTTGATGTGACATATACTCTAATTTGGTGGCAGCTCGAGTTTGAAAATCCTAATTTAGCTTTGACACACTGAGAGGTACTTTAGCGCCAAAGCTGTAGCCAGCAGGTAAAATTCCGGTAGTTTGATCCGTGTTCTGCTAGAGAACCATAAAGCTGCTCACATAAGCATAATTACATTAAAAAACCCATATCTATCTTTCTATCTATACATATACATCTATAATTATATACGGTTTCTTCAGCTGGTAAATTTCAAACTTTCAAAATTTCAAACTATCAACTGACATACAGTAAATTACCTGGTTTTACTTAGGAGAGATGGGAGACCACACAGCTTTAATCTCTCAATTACAGTGTCCTACTAGGCAAAAGATCCAATATCTTTTAATGTGGTTATTTCATTGCTTAATCATTACAACAGTAACCAACAAGAGACAAAAAATCCACTCTCATAAAACTTGCTGTTAGGATGCCTGGGTCGTCGACCCAGGGCTTTTGAGTTTATATTATTTATACTGTCTAGTTTTTGGTTTCTTTGAGTTCTATCTAATGGCTTATGTCTCTGTCTTCTTTAGTTGCTCTGTCTCCCCTATCACCTGCATCCCCTTGTCTAGTTCGTGTCTATGTGGATCTTAAGTTCCTATATCCCCGTGTTCAGTCAGTGTTTGTGTCTGCCCTGTTCCCACGTCTCTGTTCCCTTTGTTATAGTGCCTGCCCGTGAGTCTGTGTTATGTTTCCTGTTTTACTTTGAAAGTCCATGTCTGATGTTAATGTGTCTGGTTTTGCTTCCCCTTGTCTCGTTAGGCCTGATTTGCCCCAGCTGTGTTTCCCTCCTGTTACCCATTCCCTGATTGCTCCCTCTGTGTATTTAAGCCCTGTGTTTCTTGGTGTCTGTGTCGTGATCTACTGTTTACCAAGCTGTGTGTTCTGTCTGTCCTCCGGTATTAGTTTATTTTTTGATCATTTCCAGTTATGTTTATATTTGAGTTTAACATTAAAACGGTTTTTGAGTTTACATCTGTCTCTGGAGTCTGCACCTTGGGTCCTATTCCTGCCTGCACACAGCCGCACCTAACACTTGCAGTATACTCTAATGTTCTGAATTAGTTTAGGTGCAATCTTCCAAAATGAAATTTCTCAAGCAAGCAAAAGACTTTGGAAGAAATTCAATTCAATTAAATTTTCATTTCAGTTGTATTCATATAGTGCCAAATCACAACAATAATCATCTCAAGGTGCTTCATGGTGTGAAGTAAAGATCTACACTGATAGAAAGGAAACCCCAACAATCAGATGACCCTCCTATGAACAACCACTTGGTGACCGTGGGAGTAAAAAACTCCCTTTTAGCAGGAAGAAACATTGGACAGAACCAGGGTCAGCGAAGGGATAGATGTGACGAGCTGGGTGTGAGAGGGAAAAATATGGACAATCTGAAAATATAAAGCATGTGGAAGTGCCATAACCCTGCAGCTGTCTTTAAAGGCCAACAGAGGGGGACTCTGTTTCTGGCTGAGTGTTAAATATTTTCTGTTTTTTTTCCTTTTAAAAACAAAATCTTGATAACTTATCTAAGGCTCCGTCCACACGTACCCGGGTATTTTTGAAAACTGAGATTTTTCTATGTGTTTTCACCTTTCGTCCACATGTAAACGGCGTTTTCGGTCACTGAAAACGGAGATTTTTAAAAACGCCTGCCAGGTTGGATATTTACTAAAACTCATTTTTTGCATTTACGTGTGGACGAGAAAACGCAGCGTCAAAGGTGTGCGCCTTTTTTGACGTCACACTGTGCGCCACGTTATTGTTTCGGTGAAATGAATTTCTACAATACTATTACTGTTAATTGTACTCTCTGCAGTGTTTAAATGCTTACATATACACACTAGGGCTGCCACGATTAGTCGACTAGTCACGATTACGTCGACTATCTAAATCGTCGACGACTGATTTAATAGTCGACGCGTCGTTTGAAGCTTTGTAAGATCACAAAAGACGCAGGAATAAGTAGCAGGATTTAAGAGTGTAATAACGGACTGAAACAGAAGATGGCAGCACTGCATGTACAAGGATGCCAGCTGCCGTTAAACCCCGAAGAAGAAGCAGTGTCCCAGAATTCATAGCGCAGCCCAGCTCTGTTGTCAACAATGGCGGCAGCTAGTTAGTTTTTATATTACTCTTATTATTCTTTCCGGGTCACAAAATAAACGTTTAACATATTTTCAGGCGAGAATGTAGCTGTGTAAACCTCAAATATCTGCTCAGTTTATCAGGACACCACATATTTTCAAAAGCGCTCCGACGTTTTCGGAGACGTCTGTTACCCACTAGCTCGATAGCTAGCCGGGGGCTAGGCTAACTAGAGCCGTGAGAACACCGGACTCCTGGCAAATCGTTTTCAAACCCACTGCCGTCACTTAGCTTAAAATGTTATTGTTTGGCTTTTTTTTAGTATTTTATTTGTTCCTGAGTAAATCGGTTTGGCTGAGATTAAAGTTATAGTTTTTACACAGCTGAATAAATGTCAAGCAGACAGCTGATTATCAGAAGTGTGAGATGCTGGAGAATATACTCCGGTGTCCTGTTATATTTTAGATAGCAAGGAGTTTATTAAACTTCACCGAAACAATCTGCAAACTTCATTAAACTTTAATAAACTATCATCTTGTCTTTATTTTTAATTAGCACTTAACTTAAACACTTAAAGCTGTAAGCTAATGATAGTTATATAAGAGCAGATGCTGCTGGTGCAATAAGCTGTACGCTGTATGTCCAATGGATGATGATGTGATTAGTCGACTAATCGCAAAAATAATCGGTGACTAGTCGACTATCAAAATAATCGTTTGTGGCAGCCCTAATACACACACAGTTACTGTCCCTCCACACATACGACTTGGTTTCTACACGGTTAGGAATATATCGCCACCTGTTGCTTTGTCATGTTCCTAGCAGCATTTTCCTTCATTTTTGCGTTTACATGTGGACGGGATAAGTTTTTAAAACTAAAACGGAAAATCTCCGTTTTCAAAAATACCCGTGTACGTGTGGATGTAGCCTAAGTTACACACAATTATTAAAAATTTGTGTGATTTGTGAAAAAGTGGGTGTTCCCACTGTTACAACCTGGCTCAGAAGCTGCAACATGAAGTGGAGACTGACATCAGAATTAGTAGAAACACTGGTTTTATTTCACTGCTTGAAAATGACAACCCAGAAAGCATTATGGTAAGTAGGATCTCCCCCAAGCCAACCTGAGGCCTTTATCTACACCTTTTCAGATGTAGACAATTAACAGTTAAGCCTCAGTAACACCCAGAGACTGCAGTGCTGCTACTGCAAGGTAAGAAGGCCAATTTTGACCTTGCACAATAACAGTGAAGGTCAAGGTCAAATGCTTAGCCAATCTAGGTACTCAAGTCCCCCAGGGGCTGGTATATTGCAGTAAAGTTTGAAGACGATCCATAAAACGCTTTGGGTAATATCAAGTTTTTACAGATTTTCACACTGGATTTTCACACTGGGTGATGTTGACCTTGAGCTGACTCTCACCAAAGTTACACCTGTTCAAGCTGTAATTGGTATCTACCATCCCACAAAATTTAAAACTGATCTCTTGAAAATTGTGGACGCTAGACTGCTAACAAACAGACAAACAAATGGAACGGATTACGTACTCGTTACCTTTAGAGAAAAGATAAAATTGTAATGTAGTTATTATTAAATTCATATGTGCAATATCCCCACACTCACCATTTCCTCTTCAGACACTCGGCAACTTAGCACCGATTTAACTCCAATATTTAATTTGACGAAAATGTCAAAATGCAGAAGCACAAACCGCTGTCAGTCTAAAGAAAAAATTAATAAATATTCCACTAAAGTAAAAACCTTTCCTGTAGGTCCTCATCTTTAGTCTGTCACCCTCTTTTACCCAAATCTCTGTACAGGAAGACATCCTGTTCCATTTACAGAGACCAACAGCAGACATTTGGAGTTAAATGACTTTCGGTTTAATGACTTTCTGTTGGACCATTACAGCTGCTCCTCCATCAGTTGAAGAGGCAACAAACTGTGAATGTACTATTTCTAACAGTTTTGAACTGCAGGATGTCGCAAACCGCAGGTCCGATGCATAACAGCAATTCGACAAGGTGAACTAAGAAGCTACAAATCTCTTGTAGGGAAAAATCTGACAGACACTAAACAGGTACATTTCTAGTAGGGGTGGGCGATATAAACGATATATGATAGAAACGATATAAATTTGGCCACCGATAGAGATTTTGACTATACCGCTCTATCGCGATAGCGCATCGCGGTCGAAAGCATCGCAGTGGCTACAACCATTATCATCTGCAAATTATGCCGGGCGACAGTCATAGCAAAGAGATGAAGCACTTTTGAAATATGGGGAAAGCCAAAAACTGCGCTTCCTCCACTTCAGTAACATTGATTCATTAATGTTGAATTCTCTCGCAGCTGTACTGTTCCCATGTTGTTGCAGTATATTAATAACTAACCTCCTATTGTGGATGAATAATCTCAGTTGTTCTCCTGACTGAAGTCTGGCCCGTCTATAGCATCCTGCTATACGGTTGCATTTGTCCCTAACCACCAGAATCCTTCACGTTAACTTTTATCAAGTGGAAAAAAAGTTGGCGTTCATCCTCCAGCTTCACTGTGCTAATGTTATGCTAACATAGCTGTGTCGCTAGCAATCCCGTAGCAGAACATTATATACTAGGTAGTCCAACTTCAGTAACCCTGCAAACGCCACTGCTGTTTAGTTTTCTGTCTTCATTTATGTCGGAAGTGGTAGCAGAGCTGTACGTTTTAGTTAGTTTCAAAAATCTCTCAGTCAGAACATGGTATGTCATGTTTAGGTGGAAACTAGCGAGCTAACTTCCTGTTAACTTCTAACTCCGTTAAATTTAATAAATTCTGTTTTCATGGATGCATGGATGTAAAACTTAATTGTTACACCTGGTAAAGCAGCAACGCTGATGATTTTATTAAAGATGAAAGAATTGAAACCGTTTTTAACTCTCAGTGTTCGTTTGACTTTGGGACCTGAAGAGACGGAGCTTTGGACCCAGATTACTCCGCGAAGCTCCTTACTACTGCAGCCGTAATGCTCTGACAATCCATCAAAACATTTTTTAACAGATTTCTGCACACCAAAATCGGTTCGAGGTCAGTAAGCACAACCAGAATTCATACATAAGGCACACTCGATTTTTGAGAAAATTAAAGGATTTTAAGTGTGCCTTATAGTGTGGAAAATACGTTAGACAGAAGAACACAATATATCGCGATATATATCATTACCGCACGTGCTTCAAATTATATCGCGATATGGATTTTAGGCCATATCGCCCAGCCCTAATTTCTAGGACTTTTTGTGTTTCCTGTAAAATGTGATGGTCTGAATCCTTTTCATTTCTCATTTATTTAATTGGTGGTAGCTTGCACACTGAAGCAGCGGTGTTGTAATGGTGAGGTAATGAAGGTGAAAGGGAATGAGACATGGACACCCCCCACCTCCCCCAGTATATTAATTGATTAAAAAATAAAAAATTGACTGTCATTGACCCTGCATGATTTTAGTGCTAGACAAATGTTATGTTTTAGCTAATATAAAACAAAGACGATACATTAGCTGCAACTCTGACTTTTGTGTTGGGTGAAATAACACTGAGTTAGGGTTAGAGCTTCTGCACTGGACTACTGTGGCCAACAGTTATTAAACCAGATGTTCTGAGTACCAAAGCCTACAGTGTAGTGGCACATCATTAACTTATTTCTTACATTTTTTATTCTTGAGGTTTTGGTCCTGAAAAGGTTGAAAGAAACTGATACAAACCCTGGGGCTTTAATGTAGCAGACCCTTAAAATGTATAAAATAGTCAAATTCACACAGAAAGGAGGTGAAGCTGTACTCTTAACTTTACACTCTGCTTTTCATAAAAACACACATGCACACCAGTTAAAATGATGTTTTTTTTTTAAATTATGCCTGGGTTTCTTCATCAAAGCAACGTGAACCACTGACAACTAGCAATCTTTCATGCTCGCTGTATCCCAGCTCTGGCCTGTCTGATGAACCATCTAACACAGCCAGACAGCCAAATCTGTCCCCAGAAAAGGACTTTAATGACTGCTAGGGACGATCCATCACCTCTCCTAGCTCAGAAACTGATCCTGAATAAAACAGACATCAACCAACAGCAGCCACACAGAGTCACACACACTAACTCCAGAGTAAACTGTGTCCATTGGACAGAATGGGCAGATTTTACTGGGTAAGTTTCTCGTCTAATGATAAGTATTAACAATGAGCTAAGGGCCTCAGCTGCGAAAGGAGTCCCATTGTAACGGTAGGCAGCATCTGTTAGATGGCTCTTTGAAGGCTAAAATATGTAAAGAGATCAGATCAAAGGTGACTGGAGTGTCTTTCTTGCTTCAGCTGATTATTTTTGCAGGGTCAGTGGGATATTCATGAGCAGCAACCACCTAAGCGATGACACGGACTGATCAAACACAGACTTACAAGCATGTGCAAATATGTAAATTAGGCAGCAGCACATGAACATGACTAAGGTACCTTGAACAAGGAGGGAATAAGAGAACTTCCCTACAAGAGAGTCCTGAGTCTAAAGTGAGCCTTCCCCTGGATTTGTCATAGCCCTTCCCTCTTTCCTTCCTTCATCTTCAACAACAGCAACGATACACACAAGGAAATATGCTGTGACAAGACAAATGCGCACACACATGCACACGCATAGGGCAACACATTCATCAAGGCGACATGGGCAGATTTTCAGTGACATGCTGGAGCCTAGCAGGGAACCTCCCTGCACCATTAACAGGGGTGGGCAGAACAGAAAGCCAGTCAGCCATGTAGAGGCCCTCGGTCAATTATATAAGACATGAATCACACGCATACACAAACACAACGTACAAAAAACACACAATTATCCACACAAACAGGAAATCAACAGCAGGCCTCTGTGCTGCTTTACAAAGCTGTTCCTATTTACGGATGAGAAATATCCCAAGAGCTTTGTTTTTTTGTTTTTTTTTAACTGATTTCCCTGAGATCTACAGCATGAATTCACCTGACAAATCACGGCCTCTTAGGAATGTGCAGAGAAATGCAGAAATCAAATCAGGAGTGCATATGCACAACTCTACTTTCGGTCTGGTGGCGCCTCAAAAACTCAGACTCTGAAGGAGAATACTCCTTCTTCCTCTTTTAACTTCCTGATGATGACGTTGTGTGATCTCAGAGCCCAGTTAAGAGTAGAGAAGAATGCATAACGGTGTGACACAAATAGATTTGTGAGTGTATGTGTGTCAATATCATTCTTTTAAAACCCTTTCGGTATCAACATATAGGCATTCAGACATTAAACGTACTCACATCCTGTAAATCCCTATTAGGTTTTACTGAAGTTTATTTAATCTCATTGGAGGACTTGTGCAGTGCCTGTCTAATCCTAGTATTAGCACGAGGCGTCTGGCACATGGAGACTCCCGCTCCTGCTTCGTCTAGTCAGCCCGCTAACCTTACCTTCTGTGACGGTATGTCTGTGGTGATCTGGTCCACATCAACCTCCTCCATCTCCCCCATCTTCAGACGACTCACCACCACTGTTCCTGCTGTGCACACACCATCAGATGACCTAAAGCAAGACATGAAGAGAGAGAGAGAGAAAAAGATACATTCACTTTTGGCCTCTTCATTCAAGCTGTTAAATAAAAGTCTCATCTGTTAAATGATATTTTCCTCTAGCTACTGCCCCTCTACGGGCCTCAGAAATATTCATCTTCATGTCAGCCCCCCCCTGACTCGGCAAACCTAATAAGCTTATTTCCAGCCTTGCACAGGTTGTGAAATTATAAAGCTTTGAGTAAAAAGTGGAATCAGGACATGGACGCTTGCACTGCGGCGATTCCTTTTCCTGACAGATTTTGCCCAGGAGTTTTGCATGCAGAATAAAATCCCAGCGCGCTTCAGCAGGAAGCTGATGGGGGTGAAGGAAAGAACGTTTCATCTAACTGTTCAAATAGTGGTTTATTAAACCAGGCTATGTGCCCCGACAGATATGAAAATTGATACTAGAGTTTTCATATCGGAGAGACCTGACTAATCACTTTCCCAATCATGGGGCCATGATTAAGGAGCTGATAGAAAATCTATAGTATTGGCAGGAAGACAGACGCTCTCAAATGAAGAAAAATGGTCCCCGGGTATAGCGGGAGCGAGTCTGATCACCTTAACAGACCCATCCCTAATGTGCTCAGTTCCACTCCAGCTGGAGAAAATATTGGATGTTGTGCATCAGCCACTGGTCTGGGGAGACAGGAGGATGGATGACACACCCCTGCCCGAGGAGAAGAAAATGCAAGGATGGTGATGGAAGCAAAAAGGATGCTTTCGAGGCCAATCAATCTTGGGCAGACACAAAAGAAGAAAATCTAAAGGCACCCGTGAGAAAAAGGTAAGAAAGGAGATGCGGGAAGCAATGTGAGTGAAAACTGGAGAAGAGGACGGGGATCGAGAGGTTGGAGAGTGAAGGGAAAGTGTCTGTGGAGTGGGACCCTGGGAGCTTCAGTTAGCATTTAATGTCTTACAGTAGTCTCCAAGCAGAGAAAATAACATTGGCCGGTTTATAAATCCAATCATTGTCCCTTGCCAGACACCTGTCTCAGTGTTTACTCCTCTGTTCATCTTCTTGTTTCTTCCCCATTTTTTAGCGTGCCCCCTCCCGTTCCTGCGCAACAGAGGACCCAAGCACGGGAAAAGAAAGTCACCCTGACTTTGAACAAACGTTATGTGCTGAGAGCGGCCCACACATAATCGAGGAAATGGAGATTAACACACATCGCGTTCTGTGATAGTCCTCCCAAGGCAAACCTTAGGGGTTACAGTGGTCCCCTACTCTTTAGATTACTGCGCCGCAATCCACTAATGAAACTCCCCATTTAGGTGGACAAGAGACTCAGTTAGAATTGCTTTAACGTAATTAACTTACAGTATGCCTTTGAGAGATATATTAGGATTTTTTTTTTTTTTGTTTTGATTTGCAGCCAAACATAAACTCAGCACCTACTCAAATACAATTTTCTTTTATATTACTGCTGTCTGTGAGGAAAAGGACTCTTCTGCAGCCTATTTAAAAGGGCTGGGATGATTCGATTTAGCTCAATCACTGCACAGCCAATTCTCTGTTCCATTAAAAAACAAGCACGGAAGAGGTTAGAGACTTCTGACAGGATGCCTGGTCTTCAGAGGCACCCCTTTATTTTAACTAAAGCCATTTAGCACGAGCATGAAGTGACCTCCGATTAACTTAGAAGGTTTTGATGAGCGCTGTTGTTGAAAAAGAAGACATTGTTTGGAGAAAAAAAAAGACCCTTCCCCCTCCACTCCCACATTCCCTCCTCTTCTCCCTCCTCGTCACTTTCCGTCTGTTGGAGCTGGCATGGAAACAAATCTGCAGATTGTTCTTTGCCTGTGAGCCCATCTTTTTCTTTTTTTCTTTTTTTATCTAATTGGCCCAGGATCTCTTTTATGACAACACTTAATCAGATGGCTTTGTTCAAGTGACAAAAATAATGTGCTTAAAATGTCTGCTGTGAATCTGGCACAATTTGAGAAATAATTAGTTATCAGGGAAGTGCCTTACATTTAACAGTTATTTTCTTTTGAAAGGCTTTCTTGTAGTTTACGGATACATTTCCCAGCGTGGGAGCATGCAATGCAATTTGTTTCAAATGGCCAGTTTGCACTAATAAGCTCTAAATGTACGAGCTATATGTCTTAAGTACACACTGTATACACTGCACAGTGCAAATGATAATACTTTCAATTATCTGTACAAGACGGGAGGCTTCGGCTGAGCATCATATCTTAATTTTGCTTCTTGTACAGTTTTTATCTACTAATGATACAATATCTTTTCCACTAATGATGCCCCCCCAAAAACTTTTTTTCCTTTTTCTGTTAGGCTGTAACATTTTAAAGTTAAGCTGCTTCATCAGGCTTACCTCACTGTGAACTTACAAAAGGTTGTGTACAAATTTTTTAACGGCACATTCATCCAGGGTCGCAGGAAGCAGAGTACACACAAAGAAATCATCTATTTGCTCCACACAGCCTGTTTAGAAACACCAGTTTTGCAGTTGACATGCTTGTTTTTGGACTGAACATGTAAAAGCCCGACCTCGATTATAATTAACCTTCAGGTGAAAACAAACTAAACTTCATTTGGCATGGCTCTTCAAAGTATGAAACACATTAACATGACTGCTGATGGTTCACATACCTATTAAAACTCTTAAAAAAAAAAAAGAGATGTGTGTATTCAGTTAAATGAGCAAAAGGCAACGACCTGAGCAATGTTGCTGACTTGATGTTTCTGTACATAGGATCTGTGACACAACTGTGTTTTCAAACCACCACATTTAGCAACCAAGAAAACTAATTTTCCCACTTTGATTGGTTTGAGCAAGTCTATCCAGCCCAGTGGTTTAGCTGGATTTATGGGTGCGTTGCAATGTAGCAGCGACCTCAGCATCATTACGAGTTACATGTTTTCCACAGTAATATTATTACTGTCATTATTTTTCTACTGTTATTGGAAATACTATCATTACTACTGTTATTTTTTGCTTCTTTGGTGCTTTGATGATAGATGGCAATGGTTGCTTTTTTTTGTTTGTTTGGTGAAACGAGCAGTTATACTCTGCTATAATAGGCTTGCACTGCAACGCAGAGCCCCGTGTACAGTCTGGAGACACACTACCTCATTTACACTGATTGTTTTGTCTTTGTCTATAGATGCGGCATCATAATAGTTTTTACTCAACCTGCCATCACTCTGAAAATAAGCGAATGGTCAAAGATCATGAAGTCTACAAGTTTAGATAACTTGGGTTAAATGGATGAAAAATTGACCAAACAAAAATCCTGTTTCCGCTCTCTTGTGGACCAAAAAAAGGAAAGAGGTTTGTAGAGCAAAGTCAAGAAAAGGACAATAACGCTGAATTCAACAGTCCGTGGGTGGGGAAAGTTCATCAAAACACTTCAAAGCAGCAAAGCGTCAGTTTTTCTCAGGCTTTCTCTCTGTGGGATGCCACAAGGAGGGAAACACCTGATAGCCACAGAAAAGAAGCAAAAACACTCATGGCTTTTACTCTTGCAAGGGGTTTTGCTTTAACAGTGAGAAACTAAATTACCCACCAGAACGCGCAAATAACTATTTGTGTTTTGCCAAAAGAAGACATTTTTAAGAGCTCTTGAGGACACCTTAAAGCTGAATGTTAATAGAAGTAGTGAGAAAAATACAAAAAGGATCCTACAACAGCAACAAATATGCTACAGCCTTGTTGTGAAGGAATGGAAGTGTGGATGGGATTCTTGACCTATATAAAGCTGGACCAGTGGCTAAATATAGCCCTGGCTAGTTTTCACTAAGGACAGATGTTAGGACATGAGACAGTAATAATGGAGAATGCCAGCTTTAGAAGTCATAGTTCTAATGCTGATTTTTTTTTTTTTCATTAGGGATAAATGACACAATCATGTGATTCGGAGTAATTGGGCATTTTGTAACTGGGGAACTGACTCAATCAATAAGACTCTACTGCAGGCATTGTTCATAGAGCTGGACAGAATCACCAGGGGACACTTACACTGAGCACACTCTCTCTGGCATGTCTGGACCACTTGAAATTTATTCCCTGAGAAAAAAAACCTGCCCTGGTTTTCACTTGATGAAGGAGACTTACACCATGCGCAATATATTCAGTCTGAATGAAAAATTAATGTAAAACACCCTCTGTGTCCATTGTAAAAATTCAGTTCTGTGTTAGAATTAAGGATATTTTAACGGCTCTCGGGCTCAGGATGTTTTTTTAAACTTGAAAGGCGAAGCAGGCAAACATTTATTGAAAACAAGCTGATTAACTGGAATACATCAATGAGATCAAACTGTAAAATTCTGAAGTAGAAAACTAATCTGTTTGTCGGATGCAATACATCTGTAGTAAGCAGAACAGGAGCTACGTCAGCGGAAGATTGATACTTGCAGACAATTTGTGAGTTTTAACACATCCTATTTGTTCCAGTTCAATC